GGGGGGGGGGGGGGGGGGGGGGGGGGGGGGGGGGGGGGGGAAGGTGGAGAGGAGGGTTTGGATATCAGTGGAGCGAACAGGAAACTGGTCAGGGGGAAGGGATAGAGTAACTGGGAGCTCTTTTTCCCACAAGGCGTACACACATGCCCCATCTATTCTGGGCGGCAACAGAGTCCGGTTGCTTATCGCCGGCAAGCATAGAACAGCATCAGGAAAGAGTGTAGACAGTAAAAGCCCAGCAAAAGGTGTTGGGAGGTTTCGGCCTGAGCCAGCGCCCAGATCCACTTGCGACTGTTTGATCTGACTGTTGAAATTGGACTCCTCCTACGGTGCAAGTGACAAATAGCACTACTTTAAAGTTTTCAAGTTTTAACCTGGGCTACCAGGGACACCCAGTCTGGCATGCCCAGCTGGGCACCCGTCCAGGTTGCCCGCCCAGCTGCTCGCCGGAGTACCCGTGCAGGCAAAAATTCCATCCGTTTTTCCTTAAAAAATGTTCAGGGGGCGGGTTGGGAGTCCCTGCGCCGATCTAGTTCTTCCCGGTTCTGAACTCGTTTTGCTCTTTACGAGGTTTGCAAAATTGGGTTGGGGAGGGATAGCCGGCGGGGCGGGGGACAGGAGGATTAGGCTCAAAACAGAGTTTAACAGACTCAAACAAACCTTTGTCTTTGGTTTTTGTTTTTCCCAGAGATGGTTAATGGAAGGCCAAAAATTCGGTGTTTTTCGAGTAAGCCCTCTAGGTCGAAGGTGGTGCTGAGCAGTCATTTAAAACCTTCTGTAGTAAAGGAGATGCCTTTCGATACAGAACGACCCACAAGGTTGTAAAAGGCCCTTCAGTACAGGCCCCAGCTTCTAAAAGACCACTACAGAAGTTCTGACGAAGCCTTCAGACGGTGGTGCCTTCTGAAGTTCCTTCTTTAGAAGGCTGTGTAGTACTCTTCCGCAGTAGCCCCACACTTCCAAAAGACCACTATTGTCTTCGCTGCGGGACATTTGTTCACATTGGAACGATACAGAAAATGAAGAATAGCATGGCCCCTGTGCTGCAAGGATAACACACATAAATCAAGAGATGGTCCAAACTGGTTTAACGAATTTGAAAAAGAAAGAATGCACGGTTCTATTTGGGTGAAGACAGTAGTTCTGAAGAAGGAGACGAAGAAGAAGAAAGCCTCTAGAAGGTAGTGCCTTTCTAAGGGGCGGTTCTGTAGACGGTTGAATACTCGTCCCCAGAAGCCCCACCTTCCAAAAGACTGCCATCGTCTTTGCTTGAACAGAGTCATTTTGGCAATATTTGGGGCAAATTTCAGTCTAGATACATGGCGATAATAACCATGTGCTCTATTTGGGTGAAGACGGTAGGGTAGTTCTGAAGAAGAAAGCCTTTCGAAGTTGGTCACTTCTAAAGGTTGCTTCTTTAGAAGGTTGAATATACACTCTTCAGCAGACGCCCCTCTTTCGAATAAAGAACAACAACAACAATAACAACAACAACAACAATGGTCCTGAAGAGTGAAGAACATGGTTGGCAGGGCGTAGAAGTCTAGAAGATCGTGAAGCATGTCAACGCGCAAGGGTGGAAGAAGAGGGGGTCAGATTGAGAAGTTAAGAACCCTAAACCCTTTTGGCAAGCTATGTGCAACCAACAGAGAGCAATGAAGGCATATGGTGTACCGAATTATGGACGATGGAAGTCCCTCCAAAGTAATCAGAGGCCCCAGCTAGTATCTGTAAGCGTCTTGTCCTGAACCACTATATTTTCTGCAGTGTTCAAACCCACGCACAGGCACAGAATACAGAGAACTGAACAATTCTACCATTCTTCTGTTTTTTTTTAAAAGGGAGAACTAGGGGGCGGTCACGGTTTCAGTTTGAAAAAAATGCGCTTCAGTCGCGATTTCGCGAATGTTGTGCCAAAGCGAGGAAAATGGTGACTGTATACAACCTAGCTTTAGGGTCCAGTGGGGATGTGTGCTGTATTGTGAATTTTAAACTGAAATCGTGACTGCACCCTAGTTAGTAGTTACCCCCTTTTTTTCTCTTTTTTTAGTAAACAGGGCCTTATGGATCTGGCTCCGTATAAATTCTGGGGTGCGTCAGTCCGGTTCCTTTTCCACCGGCAAGTGAAAACAGGTTACGACGCACTCCAAACGCTTCTCCGCTTTATGGTAGAGAGACCGGTCGCCGACCGGGCGGCATTCATTACTTCCAGGATTGGAAGGATGTACCTCCCCCAACGCACTCCAACCGCTTCTCCGCTTTATGGTAGAAAGACCCGACTGCGCGGCATTGATTACTTCCAGGATTGGAAGGATGTACCCC